TTGAAAAATTACATACAATTTCACAAATTTGTGAGTAGAGATTCGAATTCAAAAATTGGAGCGATATATAGAATTATTAAATTTATGAGTTATATATGCGTGACTATACAGTACTTTGATGCACTTGCTCTGATCGAGATTTTTGAAATGATATCATACTACATTTCGATGGAGAATCATCGAGAGAAAAAAGTTAAAAGTTTGTTCGACACAAATAATTAATTATTTCATAGTATTACTAATAATAATTGGTGTGATGAGGTAGAAAGTTCTTATTGTGGTACCAAATGTATGATAAAAAATAGTTTTGGACCGACGGTGACATGCAACATATATCCAACAAAGAAATTTAATCATAGAAACATCCACTTTAAGGTAAAGTGTGGTCCCGCTTTTGGCCTTTGCTCATCTATGATACTTTCTTGTTTGTAAAATTTGTAATTTCGTTTATATATTCGTCCGTAATTGATAATGTGTATTGTACGTGTTAATTTATTTATGTAAGTAAGAAGAGATTATCGATCGTGTAATGATTTCATCTCTCCTTTTCATCGCTATTTTAACTCCAATATTCAATCTCATCAGTGTAAAATTTGGAATAAAATGTGAAAAATGTATGCTGAATTTTCTATACTCATCAGAGGCGGACCCAGTAATAAAGTTCAGTGAGCGCGAAACCAAAAAACTTTGGAAAAAAAATCAGAAAACCTAAAAAAACCTGAACAAAAAAACTAAAATAACCTGAAAATCTGAAGAAAAATCAAAAAATTTGAAAATTGAGTGGGGGCAGCCGCCCCCACTGTGCCTCATGTAGGTCCGCCCCCGCTCATCTTTAAAGAAAGTTATCTTAAATCAACATTGTCTAAAAACTTTTCACATCAGACAAAACACTTTCAAAAAAATATTCAAACATGTCCAAAAATAACTTCACATATTCTTAGAAATAGCTTTTTATTTTTCATAAATTCTTTCAAACGATCCTTTTTCTTGGACCATTTTCGCGCCCTCAACTTGATTTTGTTTTATCATCCCACTTTGACAAGAAATTAATTGGGAAGTGGGTTTGTTATTTCTTTTAACTTTTTTGTTTTCAATAAGGAAGTGGGTTGGTTAAAGCTATTAATAAACCAAAAGACTAACCACATTTTCAACTATGTAGCATGATGCACCCTACATTAAAGCATTCCCACCATCGAGTTGACTCATCATTCTTGTTATTGAAATTGAGTAACTAAATAGGAACTTTAGAAATTTCAATTATTATGAACATTTGATGGTGGGATTTGTTTATTTTTTTCTCTGCACTAATGAAGACTTACAATCGAGGCTTCGTAATTTAAAGTTTCGATTTAAGTAAGTTATCGATACATTCAGTTTACGTAACTGTTACTAGTATATAATTATAAGTCTATCGATCGACATGACGTGATATGATAATTCATTATTAGAATGACACATAGTTAGTTGTCCATAAGAATCGCGCAAGCGAACACATTGAACTCAAAATAGTCGCATTGAGGAGTTTGAAGGAAAATATTGAAAAGTCAGATAGACGATTCTTACCAAACAAGTAATTTATGCTACAATAAAATGCTAAAAAACAAGGGGTACGGCCAACTTACCTAACTAGCAGAGTGCTTAACGATACGAGTATGGATTTGAAATTCTATAATTAAAATTTCTAGTCATAACGAGTCATTGTGCAGCTATAATAAAAGTTAGATAAATTATTAAAATTAGTTTGTACAGACTTGAAAGTTTTAGCGACAAATTCCCTTTGAATTTGAATACAAAATATTTATACAAAATATTTAATTCCTATAAATAAATTGACAGAATTAACAGATTTATTATCGTCACTGCTTTGCCTAATAAAAATTAAAAATATGACGATGTTAATATACCCAATATAATATTTGAAGCGACGTACATGATAATATTAAATAGTGTAAATTTCACTTTGGGTCCCCAAAATTTTCAAGTTGTGGCAGTTTCAGTCCATCCAATTTTTATCCTCTCCCCCTTCCCCAACCTTGGAATTTTTTGATTTTGATTCTTCTGAAGTTGGCTCTCTTCAAGGTGAAACAATGGGGTGAAATCCCTTGTCTGCACAATCCAAGGAGGTTTTCTTCCCTTGGTTTGCTAGCAAACATGGTCGAAAATTGGGGAAAATGAAGTTCTCTTTAGTTTTCGTCGTCGATGGTAATGACTATTCATAGATTTTTCAATAGAGGAAGGGGAGGGTACGGGTGGCTGTTAGCATGGGTTGTCAGTGTTTAATTTACGGCAAATTGTTGAAGGGATGGATAGCGATTTTAGGATAGGGAGGCGTGGCTAGTGGTGGCCGTTGGTGTTGTGGTGCAGGGTAGGTGGGATTGAGGTTTGTGGAAAATTGTTTTCTTTTTTCCCTTAAAACTTATTTCAAGTTAAATGGTAGAATTGATAGATGAAAATCGTCATTAAGGACGATATACAAATGGATGAAAGCTCGGTGGCATGAAAGAGGGTAAAAATTAAATCGAGACGAAATTGCCACAAATTGAAAAGATTGAGGACCCAAATCTTATTCAATCTCGTTAATGTAATGTATAAAAATATCTTACATTTTAAAATCAATCTATTTATTTATTTTTTAATTGGCCAAGAATTTTCATCCATTCATTTTTCAAAATAAGAAATTAATAAAAAATGTCAACTGTTCCTGCATTATTTATTGGAGAAAAAACATAATCTATTTTATTGGAATATAAAACACAAAGAACAAATCAACATTTCCAGCACAGATGATTTATTATTCATTTTTCTACTAAAATTATTTATTATAAAATGAGATAATATAAAGAAATCAACCTCATCATGCTTGTTAGCCACGAGATAATAAGATTCTAAGCAACAAAATAATCATATTCTGGAAATTAATAATAAAAATAAAAATAAAAATTACAATGGTAAAGTTGAGTAAAAAGTTACACGAAAAGGATGTTCCAACAAAATATATAGATGTTACCACCTTTTGTTTTTATGAAAAGCGAATTGAAGTTTTCTTGAATGAATGAAAATCAAAATTTGAAAATGAAGAAATCAGCGAATGAAATCTTTGAGATTGTACGTCTATTAATTTATTAATATTTATCTATAAAGCTCACCAAAAGCAAATATTTGGTTTAATTTAAAGCTTGTTTGACATGACTTTTACTTGTGCGAGAGTTTTCATTGAACTTCTAATTTTGCTTTTAGTTCTACTCATTGTAGAAAAGCTTTTTAAAGAAGTTATTTTAAATCAAATTCAACTAAAAATTCTTCTAACCAAACAAAACACTTTCATAAAATTATTCGAACATGTTCAAAATCAACTTTTAGTCTAAGAAGCAAGTTTTAACTTTTCAAAAGTCTTGCCAAATGAGCTCTTACTCGATAGAGTAATGCTATGTCACCCCATTGAAATTACAACCTCAATCTAGATGACGCTAGATGATATGCTAAATAAAATGTAAAATAAATTATTTATTTAATTTCACATATCATTTAATGTCACATTTACGATATCTAGATTATGGCTGTAATCCGAACGGAGCTAAATATCATTACTCTAGATAATCCACAACTATTATATACTAGTACTGAAATTAATTGAAAGTCTTCAACTACATGGGTATAATTGTTATTTTTAGTACTTCTGGACGAGATTGGACTATACATTAAATTTAAGGGTAATTATAGACCACATTTTTCATTTCATACACTACAATTTAATTACAGTTAAACTCTTCAATTTTTGCTTATTATAGTAATTATTTCTTAACTTTTTCAACCGAATTCTTATTTTCAATCTTCCATTAATTAGTATATCTCGTCCTTGACGATGATTTATACAAAAATATTTTGTTTTCATGCTTTAAAATGAGGGAAAAATATTTTTCGTATATTTTTTTTAAAACATGATGAAAAAACAAGTTATTTTATACCATTTAAACGAATTTTTAGACATAAAACTATTATCAAATACAAAATACGTTAACTAATAAAAAGTTTGAGAATAAGAATGACTCGAGAAATTATTAGGAAGATGAGTGCTATAATGAGTAAAGATTAAGAATTTTAAGCGTAATTAAAATATGGTACAATAAATAAAAATGGTACTGTGAATATAATTAATGTAAACAGTGAAACTATGTAATCTATGGTTATATAAGTCATTTTCATGCTATAACGTATGCTTTCACAGAAAACTAAATGAACACCACAAGTTTATGGTATTGTAGGCGCACCTTTTTGTATGTTTAGATTATCTGTATGTGCCAAAGCCAAAACGGCTCTTTGTTTTCTTCTCCTTACACATTAAAATGCATCAAATTATGGATTATGATGCATCACTGTCTCGTTATCTCAGCTCATCTCGTCGGAATTCCATTGTTTTTCGGCAAACAAAGTCAATGCCCCGTCAACTTTTTAAGTTTCCGGTTTAGTGACTTCTCTACTTTCTCCACACTTTCCGCCTCAAAATTAAGGTCTTTCTCTTTTTCAATCCATTTGAGATGTTGGGTTTGTTTCTTTGATCATTTTTTTATTCTTCGTGCAAGTTCAGTTCATTTTGCTTTTGCTGTAAAAAGAAGGAAACTGAAGAAACAGGGTGGGTGGGAGCTTATCAACTATGGTGTCTAATTCATTATTATCTTTCATTTATGATGCATTATCTGAAAAAAAAATTATGGGATTTTTATATTTTATGAAATTGATCTTATACATCTAATTCTGTCCTGTTTCTTGAGTGTTTTGGCATAAGTTACCGGGGTTAAACAAATATAAGTAAAGAGTATTCTGGGCTTTGTGTTTTGATCTGTGTAATTTCCAAATTCTGTAAAAGATTGACGAAATCATGTCTATATAAAGATTATATGCCTATCTTTGTGATTTGAGTACGATTTGAATCTGTGTTGATAGAGAATTGTGCCAGTGAAGGTTATTGGTGGTGGTGGTGTGATATGGGGCATTTATCGTCGATGTTCAATGGATTAGCGAGGACCCTTTTGACCAAGAAAACGAAGAGTTTGAAGGACAACTGTGGGAATTCTGATGCTAGAGAGGCTATTGAATCCATGATGAAGGATGCAAAAAAGAATGACTTGATATTAAGATCATCAGGCATTGTCAATGTCAACGGGTCGAAAAATTTTGCTTCTGTTTTCTCAAAGAGAGGGCAGAAAGGTGTGAATCAAGATTGCTGCGTCGTTTGGGAGGTATATTTAACTAAGAGAATGCAGCTTTTTTTGAGGTTTTTCAGTGATAAATAGGTTGTTTAATTTATGGTTGTAGGAATTTGGATGCCAAGAAGATATGATGTTCTGTGGGATATTTGATGGACACGGTCCATGGGGACATTTTGTGGCGAAGAGAGTTAGAGAGTCGTTACCATCTTCTCTTCTTTGTAGTTGGCAAGAAATGCTTGTCGAAGCTTCACTTGATCCAGATTTCGATATGGAAGCAGATAAAAAGCTTCATAAATTCAATATATGGAAGCATTCCTACTTGAAGACATGTGCTGCTATAGATCAGGATTTGGAGCACCACCGTAAAATTGATTCATTCTACAGCGGAACCACTGCTTTGACAATTGTTAAGCAGGTGATAATAGTTACTTATTTTTTCGCTTTGCATTATGGTAAGCTAATCTTTACACGAGTATTTATTTTTCACTTATTGTGAGTAACAAGGTCATTGCTTGTTTAGTTGCATTCTTTCATACTACAAATATTTTCTCAGGGAATAACACGAAGCACGCTGTCTTTGCTGGTGCATTACAAGATTTGGGATGTCGAAAAGAAGTAAAAAATTTATTTCAGAATTGACACGTTGGTCCAAGATATGGAATGTGTAACACATTCTGTTTTTGTCCATTTAGGCTTTGTCAAATGTAAGAACATCATGGATTTTTCAAAGTGAAAAGTCATCAATCGAAAAATTTTAAACTTTCAGAATTGACATGTTGGCCCAAGATATGGAATGTGTAGCACGTTCTGTTTTTGTCCATTTAGGCTTTGTCAAATGTAAGAACATCATGGATTTTTCAAAGTGAAAAGTCATCAATCGAAAAATTTTAAACTTTCAGAATTGACATGTTGGCCCAAGATATGGAATGTGTAACACGTTCTGTTTTTGTCAATTTAGGCTTTGTCAAATGTAAGAACATCATGGATTTTTCAAAGTGAATAGTCATCAATCGAAAAATTTAAACTTTTGGACTTCTGCTACATGTTGGCCTCGTGTAGTCGCGTACGACTATTTTCGGCATTTAACAGGCAATGCCTTTAATGGGATATGGCATGTGCCTTTGGCATGGGAAAAAAGTTTAGTGTGGTGGTCTTCAAAAATTCGATCAGTTTATGAGCTGATGATTGCATGGTTGCTAACCCAAATGCTTATCGGGCCGTTCTGCAAATGAAGAAGTTTGATTTTCTGATTTGAGGATCTAGACACATGTAGATTAGATATGCTCATTCACTAGTATTACTGGTTTTTATAATTGCATCGAGTTCAGCATATTTTGCTTTTCGTCCTAAATCGTGATGTTCTTCCAGGGGGAGCTTATTTTCATAGCAAATGTTGGTGACTCTCGTGCCATATTGGCCACCACTTCTGACAGTGGCAGCTTAGTACCGGTTCAGCTTACTGTCGACTTCAAGCCTAATCTACCCCGTGAGTATCTCTCCCCCTCCCCTTCCCCCTCTGTCACTCTCTACATCTCTCTCTAGTACAATGTCGAACTGTTATATTTGTACAGAGGAGGCTGAGCGGATAATGCAGTGCAAAGGCCGGGTATTCTGTCTGCAAGATGAGCCCGGGGTTCACAGAGTGTGGTTGCCAGACGAAGAATCTCCTGGACTAGCAATGTCTAGAGCGTTTGGGGACTATTGTGTCAAGGATTTCGGACTTATTTCCGTCCCTGAAGTGACCCAGAGACATATAACGAGTAAAGATCAGTTCGTTGTGCTGGCAACAGATGGGGTATGTAGGCATTGTTAACCGATCTGGATTGCTATAGCTGCCTGTCTTTACTATTTACATTTTTTGCTATATAGTCTGAACACTTTATCTATAATAAACTATTCTTTCGTGTGAAGGTGTGGGATGTTGTATCGAACCAAGAAGCCGTGCAAATAGTATCAACAACTCAGGACAAGGGAAAATCGGCTAAGCGTCTGGCGGAGTGTGCTGTCCGTGCATGGAAGAAAAAGAGAAGGGGAATAGCTATAGATGATATATCAGCAATTGTACTCTTCTTTCATTGTTCTCATTCATGTGAACAAATTAATCCTGTATCTACACCAAAATAATTCTATCTAAAAGTTAAAATAATTGCTGACTCTACTTTTTTCTTCCTGATCATATCCATACTGAAGTAAAGGGGTGATCGAATACAAGAAAGTAGAGCACAACAAAGTACTAAAAACGGGATAGTTGGAAAATCTGATTCTTGTTCGAAGAGTGCATAACTTTGTTTCACACCATTAGGAAGAGAACTCGTGCAAATTGTTAAAAGCAAAACACGGAACTAAAAGTAAAATGTTCATAAATCCTTTTGCAAGCAAATAATGGAACTGAAATCCACACAAATTTTATTGAAAAAAATATGCACTGAGAACTGAATGAATAACCAAAGTTTACTATGTTGAATTACAATCTCAAAATCTAAAATTTTCCTTCAGTAGACCATGTTCAATTCTGAGCCCAATAGTTTCACATACAACAACTACATATACATCTATCAATGGGTACTTTTAATCTGCCATCACTAGAAACTGTAAACTCTAAATCCACTAGTATTTTTGTTCAAGGAACCCCAGATGCTATCTGAGTAAAGAATCATCAGCAAGAACTAAATACATTCATGCTTTCTTCCCACCGAACCCTAGACACTGTCAGAGCATTTCAGCATGTTATAGATTCTTATCCAAGACCTAACGATGATATTGTTCAATGATACCACGTGTTCAATGGAACACTTGTGAAGATGCATAAAACTCGCCTTCGATAAACATTGGTCGGAGATCTTGTTCTTGACTCATGAACTCCAAGGGAAAAGAAACAAGAAATCCTTTTATGGATTTTAACATTGTCAATGAGTCGATGGTTACGGATTCGCCATTCTGATGGGATTCATGCATTGAAGAAGCTACTCCTAAGTCTATAGTGGTGTGCCCAAGTTTTTGTTTCCAATGACTAAGGCTTTGTCTAAGTGAAGATCTGCAGTTAATAAAAATGTTGAAAAATATAAGACAAACGCATAGAGGAAAGTAAGACATAAAATGAGAATACAGACTCCTAAAGATGTACCTGGAGTGTATGAGGTCATTGGGGATGCAAGAGAAAACATCTTGGTAAATTTTTGTATTTACCTGGAAAAGGGACAATAAAGCTGCTCAAGAAAAGAGGAGAGAAGAAAATGAAGTAAAGTAGACCTAGTAACGATAACATTTTTCCATTCCAAATATAGATCCGATCTTCAGATTCATTCAAGAATAGAATAATTAAAACATGAGAGAACTGCAGAAAGCTCAAAATGACAAGTTGTGAAAATGATATGAAGTCTGAAAACTACTTGCTTTCTAATACTTAGACTTAGACTTACTGTAAAATTATTATTTGTTTTACTCCAAAATCAAACATGTGTATGCGCGTATAACTACATATATCTACACGAAACTTCAAGATGCGAAAAATACAATAGTTTCTGTTGAGCACCAAATTTACTTCCCTAATGCCATATCAAAAATCTATGCAAACTATATGGTCCGATATTTAATACTGTCTTACCTTTGCAGTTTCTACCCACAACTCCTTGAATGTAGAGTCAGCTATAGGGTCTCTTATTCGACAAAGCTGGAGAAGAGGGAGAGAAAATTTAGCGTCATGGAATTTTTTAACAGACTAGTAAATATTTCGTGACTGTTCTCACCTCTTCAGTGTTTAAGCCAAGGTGCTCTCCCCACAAGGAAAGTCGAAGGCTTAAAGAAAATTTTCCAGCTTTCCAAGGCTTCTCATTCATTGATGACCCGACAAATTCCGTATCTTCAATCAAGACCGCAATCTGAATACACATGTCATATATAGAAATCCACCAATCAATGGTTAAAATGACAAGGTAATAAAAAAGTCATGGAGAATGAAGAAGGAATGAGGAAGATGAAAGACAGTTGAAAATTTGGAGCAAAAATTCATGTATACATCAATATATAGGACAGTTCATTAATATTCATTTCAAGCTTTTTAAAATTTCAAAGAATTTTTATCAGATAAGTGTTCTTTGTTAATGATAGGGTTCTGGAGCATTTAGCTGGTAATGCGAGAGTAATATATGGAAATCCAAGTTCTAGTTCTAATAAAAAAAGGGTTCTCTAAAGATATTGTCGTCTTATAGAATCCAGATAGCAATTGTAAATCGCCATCGTTGTTGCCCCAACATTTGACCTCGATATTAAAAAATGGGCCTGTTAAGTCGGCAAATGTCTAACTGAGACATAGGCTACAGGTCCTTGGATAGATTTTGTATTTGTGAACCTTCTTTCCTGATATTAATACACCAGTTATCACATTTTCTTAAGAAACAAAATGTGCATGACTACAATTCGGTTGCATCATGTTATGGATTAAGCCTTAATCCCTTCTGAGAGTAATAATAAACAAAAAAGCAATCAGAAAATGAGCAAAACGCATAAAGATTTGTAGTGGTTATCTCTCAATGAGAGAGCTATGTCTGCCCACCACCTCATATTCCACTATATTGGAGAAAAGTCTCCAAGGGTTCTCTCATGCCTTGAGGCTCGGTGGAGGTACAACTAAGCTCTATGCAGTTCTACACAGTTCATGCATGAACTTGTGTAGCCTGTAAGAAAGATGACTCTGCATCCATTTATAACTTTGATCTCATGGTACGCAACATAGTCTATACAGTTCTGTAAGTTGGAGAAAAGAGAGCAGTCAAACGCATCCAACCGAGATGGTAAGTATTTCACCTCTGAGTCTCTTGATCCTAGCAAGCTCCTATCATTTATATTGGATGATCCAACCAAAGCACAACGATCATCAACTATCATCACTTTACTATGTACATAAACCCGTGTGAGAAAAAGACACGTAGTTCAAATTCTGTTACTTTAGAATAACGACAATTAGTTACTTTCCAGTTTCAAAGGGCGAGTAAAAGCATCAGCAGTAAAATCATGCACGCATTGAGCCTTGCAAATCAAGTTTCGAAGAGGAAAAGTTTTTTAAAAGAAGGATAATGTTAGGATATTGCTTCTGTTCTGTACAGGCTCTTGTTCAACTTACATAAATTTTACCAGTTATCAAAGATGACTAACATGCTATTTTGCATCACGAGCGAGAAATTTCAACAGTAATTTGTGGAAGTAACTTCCGAAACACTGACTATGAATAGGTTGTTGAAGATTTGGAATATTACCTGACTTGTAACCAGAGGACCACCATCAAAAAGTCTACCATAGGTTCTTAGACCATAAAAAGATATAAAATCATGTGCTATCGGCCCCAACTCTGAGCAAAGTTTTTGCAATATCGAACTTTCTCCTCTGCAGATGGTACGGTATTGCCAATGCATGATAGCTCTGACTGTAGCTGCACCACTGTCATCCACACCCCCCTGTTTACTCAGAAGTCTGTATTGAAAAAAGAAAGATAGATCCAATGGAAAACTCTCAAATCAGAATAGAGAATCACCACCTGAAACCCGGGTAAGAGTGGAATGACAATTATAGCTCTGAAGCACTTTCTTTCTCTGTGTGCCCGGATTATGCGATTATATAAAGATTCAAGTATGCGATTCTGTATGACATCATCTTCTGAAAGTCCTGATATGAAAAATTGGTTCTGCAAATATCATATAATATACAAAAAGATTAGCAAATTCTTTTCAGATTCAACTAAGCCAATTAATGATTCAGGTTGTAAAAAAAGATAACGAGATAATCTAACATAAGTTACAAGAGAAAGATCCTTAAACTGATGTAACTTGCATTTCTAAAGTTATTAAGCTACATAAAATTAATACCATATATCCAATAATTGAAAGCATAAACTGTTAGAAGGGAACAAGTCACTTATTTAAATTTTGACTTCAACAAGCCTAACCATCCAGTTATATTTTCTTGAACAAAACTCATTTCCAGGAATACATAATATGACATCGTTGACAATCCAAAGATTTAATGAAGGCGTAATAATGGCATTCATATATAAATTCACCTCAATATAGATGAAGTTCTCTGCTTCTTCAATTAGAGAACAATAAGCTCTTTGAATGCTGTCTTCAGTTTGGCTTGTTCCAGCAGACCATTGACTGACACTTCTGACAACCTGCATGAAAAAAAAAGGTATTAAACTGAGATTGAACCTATGTTAGAGCAGACGAATATTGCAAGATGACTGTTATTATTTATTAATCATATGGGACAAATCTTTCGAGATCAGTCTAGCTGAGATGAATCAGACTGGAGTGAAAACCACAGGTCCTGTGAGTCATGGGCTGAACTCCAAATCGTCTAGTATAAAAATGTTACTATGGCTGGTGGTATTGATTCTTCAGTGGAATCGTTTGCATCTTACAAAATAATTATTTCAAAACTAGCTTGTAAAATAAAAACATATTAACTAAAAAAATTATTTATAAGCAAAAAAATTACGTTATAATTTAAAAAATTCACTTATGTGTAAAAATTAATTAAAAAGTACAAAATTAACTTATAATTTATAAAGTTCACTTATAAGTAAAAAATACTAACTTAAAATTTGAAGTAAATATTTAACTTTATTTAATTTTTTAAGTTAAATATTAACTTATATGTAAAAAAAATTACCTATAAGTAAAATATCACTTATAAGTAAAAAAAACTTCATACAAGGAACTATAAACTGAAAAGTCATCAAAGGACATATACGTAATTTTATTCTTTTAAAAAACTTTCAGAACCGGAAATTAATAATCTCTCAAACACGTGTTTGATTATTTTAAAAACCGCTACTTAAACCACTCAAAATCGATACTTTAAAAAATGCTCATAATTGGTAAATTCCCAAGCAGCCGTATATGTCATGTTCAAATATACTAAATCTTGATGGTGTTGATTTTTGATGAGTAGGATTTACAATGACCGAGGCTTGATTAACCAACTTTTACTTAGGACGTGTTCATTAGAGATTAAAATTGGATTAAAATTGAAAAATTAACTTTTATTGTTGACTTTTATTAGACGAGTGAGACTCAATAACGGTTATATTTTCAATTTTAATTGGATTTTAAGCTTAGCCAAACATGCTC